TTATTCCCGAGGCTCGATTGCGGGAGATGGTCATGGAAGCCAAGCAGGCCGGTTTGAGCACCGCCCTGTCCGGTCACCTGAAACTCGACAACCTGGATGAGAATCTTGCCGGGGATGTCACCCCCGACAGTCGTAGTTGCGTTCGGGGTCGCTAGTCTGCTCCAGAGGCATGCGAACGGGATCGTGCAGTGGCCTGGGAAGCCGTAGCCCACTTCAAGGAACAACTAGATTTGCGCAAGACGGGACAGATTGATGTGCGTCGGCAACCGTCAGGCGCTAATGGCAACGGTAATGGCAATGACCACAACGGACAGTGGCTGGGCGGTCATATGACGCGTACGAATTGCGTCTCGGCGTTATCGGCAGTCCTGAGCCCAGGCCCGATGGATGACGATCGCGGCTCCTTCGTAGAAGCTATCCTTCACGATGCCCTTAACATATACGACGTCATTTACTGGGCGGAGCAGGCAGGTCATAGACTGTTGACCCAACGCAAGGAAAACGATGGCACCTTGCGGGTTCTGATTCAGCCCTTTGGCAGCAAATAGATAGTTCGGTCGCTCCGAGCATTTTAGTCAGAACCCTGGCCCCCGCACCGTAACCGGCTGCAGGGGCCAGTATTTTGTATTGGTGCAAGAAACAGGAGGTGCAATAAGTGACAACGGAAGAACGCTGGAGCCTCAAAGGGGACTACTTCGAAAATTGCAATTGCGAGATTGTTTGTCCCTGTATCGTGCGGGGTGGCCCCGCCGTCCCTACAGAAGGCCACTGCGATGTGGCCTTTGCCTTTCACATTCAGGAGGGTGAATACCAGGGAGTGGCGCTGGACGACCTGAACTTCGTGGTGGTGGCTTATACACCCGGCATCATGGGTGAAGGCAACTGGACGCTGGCCAACTACGTCGACGAGAGAGCAGACCAATTTCAACGCGCCGCCATGGGACGAATTCTTTCTGGAGAGATCGGGGGGCCTTCGGAGCGCTGGATGGGACTGACCTCAAACTACCTGGGGATTAAGTACTGTCCAATTGACTTTACGGCTGATGGGCACGAACGAAGCGTCAAGATCCCGGGCATAATTGACTTCAATGTGAAGGGGTTGGTGGTCGGGCGCAGGACCGAGGCAATGACCCTGGTAAACACCGGCCATCCAGTCAGTTCCTCGCTGGCCCTGGCGGAAGGCACAACCAGCACCTATAACGACCACGGGATGACCTGGGACAATTCCGGAAAGAACGGTCACTATTCTTCCTTTCAGTGGAATTGGCCTTAGAGGGGCTGGGTCCAAGTCGTTATCAGCCCGAACAAGGAACTGTCAAAGCAGTTGGAGAAAATCTGGTATGTGCCGAAGCATCAAGAACCTGCGTGTCCGAGAGCCTTCCGCAGAGGTGGAGGAGATCCAGGCTGCGGCATTGCAGTTTGTCCGAAAAATAAGTGGCCATCGAGCGCCATCAAAGGTCAACCGGAAAGCCTTTGAGCAGTCGGTGGAGGAGATAGCTGCCTCTTCCACCAGGCTGCTGGCGTCTCTGGAATCCCGCCAATGACTTAGCTGGACCAGAGAAACGCCCTCCAGCATACGGAGCGACATACGAACTTCCCTCAGCCATTCACCTAACCGCCTGCTTTAGGAGACATTTCCACCGTAGACGTGGTCCGGCATCACGATTATTGCTGACCTGCGCTGCTCCACCATGGCCTGATCGTACTCTTCCCAATTGGGGTGTTCGGTCGCTGCCGCCGTTCGAAAAACGTCTCTGAGAGCCAGGCGCAACTCGTCTGCGTCCGTGTTATCTGCAGACAGCAGCCTTGCCGAACCTTGCAGCACAACGTAGGCCGACCAGTTCTCCCTGGCCACCAGCAGGGTGCATCGGGGGTTTCGGCGCAGGTTCCTCAATTTTGCCCGGTCTTCAGTGGTGGTGAAAGCCACCCCGTCCTGCAGCGGCCCGCAGGTAATTATGCTCATTTGCGCCGAACCATCTCGCCGGAAGGTGGTAAGAACCCCCCGTCGGTTTTCAGCCACGAATTGCTTCAGATTATCGTTCAACATTGCTTCTCCAATTCCTCAGTTATTTGCCCACCCTGGTCGCTCAGCTTAACCAGAAAGTAGAACCGTTGGCGTCCTTCTGCACTTCAATCCGGACCGGGAACATGTCCTTCAGGTCGTCCAGATGGGTAATAACAATAATTTTGTCGAAGTCGTCCTCAATCGCACTGATTACGTCCAGGATTCGTTCCCTTCCCGATGCATCCTGGGTTCCGAAACCCTCGTCTATAAACAGTGTGGGAAGGGGCGCTCCCGTTCTTTGCGACAAGACCCGGGACAAGGCTATCCTCAGTGCAAGGTTTACGCGGAAGGTTTCTCCGCCGCTATACATTTCGTAGCTGCGGGATCCCAATTCGTCACTGACATTGATCTCCAGGGTCTCAATAGGCTCACCTAACCCCGACGCCTTTCGCGTTGGGTCTCCAGCTTGACGTGCATGCGGTTGTCCGTCATTCGACCCAGGAGCACGTTTGTTTCCTCTTCCAGCCGTGGAACAACTGTTTCGATCAACATTGCCTGGATACCCTGGCGTCCGAAGGCGCTGACCAACTCCTGATAGATGCCGTATTCGTCCTGCAAAGCGGACAGGCGACCGCGGTTATGCTCCAGTGCCTGCGATAACTCTTCCAGTCGCTGTAGTTTCCCTTCCAGCAATCCCTTATGGGAAAGCGTTGATTGTTGGTCGCGCTCAAGTTGCGATTCTTGTTGCGATACCTGGGCCAGGCGCCCTTCAATCTCTGGCAGTTCCGCTATGGCAGTTTCGGACTGTTGAATCTGCCCGCGCAGATTCTCCAACTCTTCCAGCTTTCTTTGAAGCATTACGGCCCCATTCTGCAACTCGGTTCGTTCCTGGGGCAACTCCCTTAGTGCACGGTCCAATTGGAGTTTCAATTGCCCGAAACTTTCTAACTGGCGCATCGCCTGGATAGTTTGCCGGTAGGTGTCTTCCTCAAAGGCAAGGCTCAGCATTGCCTCTGCCACGGATGCAGTCTTGAGTTGGCATCCTGGGCGAATTTGCCCGAATCAAGTATTGCAGCCAGCTCCGTCAAACGATCCTTTGCGCGACCAAGCTCGACCTTTGCCTCCCTGGAGGCTTGCAACTGTGTTTCCGTCCTGGTGCCTTGTTCCCTAAGCCGGTTCAACTCCCTTGAATAGGACTGTTCTTGGAGGACAAGATCTGCCTCCAGCCCCGTCTTTTGTTCCTCCAAACTCTGCAATCTGGTTCGGTTGCCTCGATAAAACTCTCGCTTCTCGGTAATTTCAGCCTCGTAATTGTCAGCCAGACGCTGGCAACCGTCCTCGCTTAACGGGGAGAGGCAAAGGGGACAGACCACCGTATTCTGGATAGTGTTCTTGAGCAGATGCAGCTTTTCGTTTAGCTGCTCTCCCTCTGCTTGGTAACGGGCGGCCAGGGTCTGAGCCTCCCCAATGCCCGTGGCCAAACTCTGGATTCGGCCCGTTATTTCTGCCAGGGATTTTTCAACCTCTGCCAGGACCGTTAATTCCTTACGAATTGTCCCCAGTTCGTCCAGAAGGGTTGGCTCCGCCTCGGACAAGGGGGCGAATTCCCCCGCTATTCGCCGGTTGAGTTGCTCGACATCCGATTCAACACGTGTCCGTTCAATTTCGATGAATCTGGTCAGGTCATTTTGCTCTTGCCTTAAAGTCTCGTACTCCTGGCGGGATGCTTCAAGAACGGCAAAGCGGGCTTGCGCGGCTTCCAGTTGCTTAATGCCAGAATTGATGTCCTCTGACTGGTTGATCAGCGCTTCATGTTCCTTGATGCGGCCTGTTATCGCAGAAATGGTTGATTCTGCCTGGACTATATCCCTTTGCAATTGATTCGACAGTTTACGGTGCTCGGTCAACTGGGCATCCAGGCTTCGCAAAGCGCCAACAGTTGCTCTCAAGTCTTCGGCGAGCTTGCGACTCTCAGATAGCCGCGCACCGATTTCGGCCAGGAGACGGTTCGTCTCGTCCAATTCCGGCGCGGGCTTCCCAATGAGTTCTATCTCGGTTTGTATCCGGCCCAATTCGCCGTCCAAACGGTCCGTTTCACTTCGTTTTTCTCCTACTCTTTCTCTCGCTCTCGATTGAAAGCGGTCATAAGCTTCCAGGCCCAGAATCGAAGCCAGGACTGCTTTGCGGTCCGCGGGTGTCTTGTTGGTGAATTCATCAGCCCTGCCCTGCAGCAGAAACGCAGAGTTAATGAACGTCTCGTAGTCCATCCCCACTAGCTGCTCTATTCTTGCCTGGGTCTCCCGCAGGGAATTGCCGGTTACAACTTGGGAAAAGGCGCCATCACCGTTCATGGCTTGAAGTTGCAGGTCGCTGGCACCCTGCCGGCGGCGGCCGCTGGCGCGTCTCCGGCTGCGGATTGCACGATAGCGCCCATCCCTCGCCATAAAGTCCAACTCTACGCGAGCTTCTTCAGCACCGTAAGAAACAAGGTCGTCCTGCACCTGCCCACGGGCCTTGCCCCAGAGGCACCAGGTGATGGCGTCTAGCAAAGCAGATTTCCCGTGGCCGTTGTCGCCGCAAAGACAGGCCACATGCACCCCTTCAAAATCCAGCGGGGGTACGTTTTCCCGGTAGGAAAGGAAGTTCCTAAGACTGAGCTTTAAAGGAATCAAGTCTCGCAAGTCCTCTTGGTTGTTTGATAATTCAATTGGGATCAAAGGGGATTTTATCACGTAGGAGGTTGTCATAAGGTGGGAAGGTCTGCCCTATCTTGGAAGACAGCGGTCTGCTAACATTAGTAGGGCTTTGCCAAATGTTCATTTGTTTTTCCCTTCATAGTGCAGTGCCAACAACCAACTTTGACCCAGGATAGCGGGAGTCAGGTATGTTCGAAAATCTAACCGATAAGTTGACAGGTATATTCAATCGCCTGTCCAGCAAGGGTCGTTTGACCGAAAAGGATATTGACGAAGCCCTGGCGCAGGTGCGGCGTTCTTTGCTTGAGGCCGACGTCAACTTTCGGGTCGCCCGGGATTTTGTAGCCAAGGTGAAAGAGCGTTCTCTAGGGGCGGATGTACTCGAGAGCCTGAGCCCTGGGCAGCAGGTCGTCAAGATAGTTCACGAAGAGCTTACGGAAATCCTTAGCGGTGGCGACCACCGACTAACCCCTTCCAGCCAACTCCCTTCAGTATTGATGCTGGTTGGCCTCCAGGGTTCTGGAAAGACAACAACGGCTGCAAAACTGGCCTTGCAACTGCGGCGGCAAGGGCACAGCTCAATTCTGATCGCCGCTGACTTACGACGACCGGCGGCCATTTCCCAACTCCAGACCCTGGGCCGACAATTAGAGGTGCCCGTATACTCTGAAGAACCCCAGTCCTCCACAGTGACCCAAGTGGTAAAGAATGGTGTGGAACGGGCCCGGCAACAAGGTCTCACCTGGGCCATAATTGATACCGGCGGCCGTCTTCACATTGACGATGAGTTGATGCAGGAGTTGGAAGACGTCAAGGCGGTGGCCCAACCCCATGAGACCCTGCTGGTCGTGGACGCCATGACCGGTCAGGATGCGGTAAACGCTGCGCAGGAGTTCAACGACCGCGTTGGGTTGACCGGCCTGGTCATGACCAAGATGGATGGCGATGCCAGGGGAGGCGCGGCCCTGTCGGTAACCAGGGTCACCGGTGTGCCCATAAAATTTATGGGTGTTGGTGAAAGGTCTGATGGCCTGGAAGCATATCACCCGGACCGGTTGGCCTCACGTATTCTGGCGATGGGCGATGTCCTGACCCTGATCGAGAAGGCCCAGGAGGCTGTCGACGAAAAGCAGGCCAAAGAGCTGGAGAGGAAATTCCGTCAGGCCACATTCGACCTGGAAGATTTCCTCGAGCAGATCCAGAGTGTCAAGAAAATGGGGTCACTCAGCCAGATCATGGAAATGATCCCCGGCATGAACAACATGTCCAGGAAGATGCCTGCCGACTTTGACGACAACCAAATTAAGCGGGTCGAGGCTATCATTCGGTCCATGACGGCGGAAGAAAGAAGACGCCCCGACATTCTCAACGGAAGCCGACGCCGGCGCATTGCCCGGGGCAGCGGTACTACCCCCCAGGACATTAATCGCTTGATGAACCAGTTCAAGCAGACGCAGAAGTTGATGCGCCAGTTTTCCCGAACCCGCAACCCTAAGAGCCTGATGAGAATGTTCCAATAGGCCCGTGATCGCTGGCGCATTTCGTTGGCGATCTTGCATAGAGAGTAAACCCCAACGTGCTGTACGAACGGGTGTGCAACCCCGGGCGACGCCGTGAAATGGCTAATAGACTACTGTAACGTCCTGCCCTCGTCCCGTTCTCAATGAGGCAAACAGGTAGGACGTCGCCAGGGTACGAAAGGGCGACCAACGTATCGAATACTCCCCCAACTGCTGGTCCGTCAGCGCTTCGCCGCCGAAATAGAGTTGAGAGACGATTCGCCTAAGAGCCAGATCCCCAATGGGAAATGCGTCTTCTCTCCCCAAAGCCCGGGACAGAACCCACTGAGCGGACCACATTCCCACGCCCCTCAATGCGGTAATTTCCTTGATCACGTCCTCGTCGGAAAGCCCTTCTACACTATCGAGGCCACCAGGGGTTTCCAGTTCCGCCAAAGCCAGCCCGTGCAAGTACTCAGCCTTTCGCTGGCTAAGCTTTAGCGCCCTTAGCTCTTCAACGGTGGCCCCGGCTATCGCCTCCGGGCGAGGAAAGGCCCGGTGTATTTTCTCCATCTATGGAAAGGGTTGGTCCGTAAGTTTCGATTAGCAAGGCTCGTATCACCCGGGCCACGCTGGCCGACAATTGCTGACCAATAATTGCCTGGGCTATCGTCTCAAAGACCGAAAGAGCTAGGGTTTGGTGCATGCCGTAGAAGGTACGGACCAGGTTTGCCATTACCGGTTCACCTGCCACGAAGTGGTAAAAGGGTTGGAGGTCCTGGGCGGTTCCCAGTAGTCGCTCCAGCTGAGATTGAGCCAGCTCGAGCTCTGAAGGGGTGAGCATGGAGCCTCTCAACTCTACGCCCAACCCGGGTCTCTCAATGTCGCCTTTGAAACGCACGGTCGCCAAAACCAGCTTGTCGCCCAAGTCCAGCAACCTCTTATATAGGTCCAGGGCCGGACCTTCACCTTTGCGGTAATAGGGCTGATTCTCGGCAGTGAACTCGAAATCGAAGGGCTGGGTTGGACTTATCGACAGGAATTGGTCTGGCATTACTGCACCTATTTGTCCCTGCCGAAACTTACCTTTCCCAGGGAGTCGTAGATGGCGCCTTGTGGAGTTAGTGTACTCCGAATCAGGTGCATCTCCATCGCCTGCCACGGCCTGCCTTCGGCCAGGGAGAATTGACTGATGACATTGCCTATTCGTCGACGGTCCGACTGAGGCACCCTGTCCTGTACCCTTCCAAGGGTCAAGTGAGGGCGAAAAGGCCTGCGTTCCTTGGCGAATCCGAGGGCGGCAAAGGAATCATCTACCAGCTGTTGCAATCGCGCCAGGTCATTAATGTCGCCTGTCACGCCAGCCCACAGGACACGAGGCTCCCTGACACTGGGAAAGACACCCAATTCGTTTAACTGCAACTGTATAGGCTCAGCTGGAAATTCAACGGAAGCTTTCCCCATTGCACCGAATATTTCCTCCACCAGACTGGCATTAACATTTCCCAGAAACTTTAGGGTTAGATGGACTCCTTTCGGTTCCACCCAGCGTATTCCATTCGGCAGGGATTCTTGAAGCTCCCGCACGGCCTTCTCCAAGGCTGCCTTGGCAAAGTCTGGCAGATCAAGCGCAACAAATACTCTGACAGTATCGTTACCTTCTCTCATGACTTCAGCTCGTCTCTGAACTGGGCCAATTCCCGATACCAGGAAACCAGATACTCCAGGGAATACTGCGCGTTTGCCGGGCTGGGATTGGGCACCACGAAGATTCTTGCCTCCCCAATTCGTCGCTCTTGAAGACCCAGGGTTGGGCGTTCCCCTACGCCCTCTCCGTACTTGAGGTAGGCTCTGTACCCGGTCATGCCGTGGAAGCAAGCGATTAAGGGCTGGTAATGCTCGAGTTTCTCTTTAAGAATTGGAGACCATTCGCGATAGTCCGCCGCCCGTAATCCCGACGCCTGCGGTGTGGGCCGTTTGACCACATCGGTAAACCCGATACCATACTTTGCCAGTTCGGTATCCCTTTCAGGGGTCAACTCTTCGCCTACCAACCCGGAACCATTCAAGGCTGCCCAAAACCGGTTGCGAGGATTTGCGAAGTAATGACCAACGCGCACCGAGTAGGTGGACGGGTTCAGACCGACAAACACTATTTCCAGACCCGGGCTAAGGTAGTCGGTCAAAGTCTCAAATTCCGAATGATCCTGGTTAGTCACGAAATATTCCAGGCATTGGTTTTATACGTCATGGGAGATGTGTCTCGTCAGACCAGCCCTAAGAGGGAGGCGGCATTGCCCCCTAGAATTGCGGTCCGGGCGCTTTCATCAAGATTGGACTCCGCGACTTGAGCCAGAAGCCGAGAGTGACGAATAAGAGGGTAGTCAGTCCCGAAAAGGACTTTCCCGTGGCCGACGGTCTTTGAGACTACCTCGAAGATTTCTTTATTGTACAGAAATGGCGATGCCGCAGTGTCGAAGTACACATTCTTCAGTTCCCCTGGCAATTCGGGCATCAACCCATAGAACGGCAATCCGCCACCCCAGTGGGCACAAATGATGATGTTCTCCGGAAAGTTACGAATGAGCCGGTAAACCCTGTCGGGTGTGGTCGTTCCTTTACCCGGGTATTGGTGGCCCACTGGCTCAGATGTGTGAATAAGAACTGGTAATCCCAGTGAATGAGCCAGATCCATCAGCGGCGCCATGTCTTCTCGGCTGGTAATGTCGAATCCTTGCGAGTCAGGGTGCAACTCTCCAATGCCCCTGATTCCCAAGGCCGCACAGCGTTCCACCTCGATCAAAGCGGCGTCGCCCCAGGCAGGATTGACTGAGCAAAAGCCTGCGAGACGGTCACTGTGCTCCTGAACTGCCCCAATAACATAGTCGTTGGCTTCCCGGGCTACACCCGGATCGGTCCATCCGAAGCCCAGGACTACCGAGTAGTCGACGCCGGCAGTGTCCATGACATCGAGCAATGCTTCCGCTGTCGCAACGTTAGCTCCGGGTTCTGGAAACAGAGTGGCATAGGTGTTGTCCCGTTCAGACAATTCCTTGTAACGGGCCTGAAAACTGGGAGGCAAGATGTGACAGTGAAAGTCAATAATCATTGGATTTAGGCAAAAAGCATGGTTTCCCTATGGGCGTTTGTTGTGAAGAACTGATACTTAAGTCAAATATACCAAAATACCTCCCTAGACACCTTTGGACAAGGCAATTATAATCGTGTGCGGTCAACTTGGCGGAGCCTTGCCCGGGGACTAGAAGACTTCGCTCCGATCAATGTATTGGAGATCGTCAGAAGCATTATGAATGGCTTTACCGTCTCAGCAACGGGGCAAACTTACAGCATTCCCGAGTTGCAGGCCATATCAAAGGAACTGCGTCGGGACATAATTCAGACCATCTACACCGCCGGCAGTGGACATCCCGGCGGTTCTCTTTCTGAATTGGACATTCTAGTTTCGCTTTATTTCAGGATATTGCGGTACGACTCAACCAACCCGCAGTGGCCAGACCGCGACCGCTTCGTCCTGAGCAAAGGCCATGCATCTCCAGGCTTCTATGCTGTCCTTGCCAAGGCAGGGTTCTTCCCCAAGGAGGAATTGGCAACCTTCAGGCAACTGAATAGCCGAATTCAGGGTCACGCTCACCCCATGACCCCCGGGGTCGAAATGAACTCCGGCTCCCTGGGAATGGGGCTTTCCTTTGCGCTCGGTTGCGCTCTGGCAGCACGCCTGGACAACAAGGATTACATGGTTTACGCGTTGTTGGGTGATGGGGAATGCGACGAGGGAGAAATCTGGGAAGCGGCCATGTCTGCGTCCCACCATAAGGCAACAAATCTCATAGCCATCGTGGACCGGAACCGCATCCAGAATGACCGGTTCACGGACCAGGTTATGGGTTTGGAACCCCTTGCTCGCAAGTGGCGGGATTTCGGTTGGCGGGTGTTTGAGACCGACGGTCACGACATGGAACAGCTACTTTCCACATTGGATAAGGCGCGCCGGCGACGGAACAAGCCTACGGCGATCATCGCCCACACGGTAAAGGGCAAAGGCGTCAGTTTCATGGAGAATAACCCTGGTTTCCACGGGCGGGCTCCCAACGCCGACGAGTTTGCGAAAGCTATGGAGGAACTGGCCTAATGGTGGCGCAAAGGAAATTGGCCTCGACCAGGCAAATTTACGGCGAAACGCTCTTGGAAATGGCCGATTCCTACCCGGACTTAGTGGTTTTGGGCGGTGACCTGAATGTCTCCGTCTTCACTCACCTGTGGCGAGACAAGCATCCCGAGCGCTTCTTTGATTTCGGGCCCGCCGAACAAAACCTGATTGGAGTAGGCGCCGGGTTCGCCGCCAGCGGAAAAATCCCTTTTGTGAGCACATTCAGTGTATTTGGCGTAGGCCGACCTTTTGACCAGCTTCGTGTCCTGGTTTCCCAGGCCAACCTGAATCTCAAACTGGTTTGTACCCATGCCGGTATATTGACCGGAGAAGACGGGATGTCCGCGCATGGAATTGAGGACCTGTCGCTGATCTGCTCTTTACCCAGTTTCACGGTAGTGTCCCCTGCCGACACCGTTGAGACAGTGCAGGCGATAAAGACTGCCGCCGATACCAAGGGCCCCTTCTACATTCGTCTGTCGCGCGCTGCTACGCCTGTAATACACGATAACGGTTACAAGTTCGAACTTGGAAAGGCAGAGGAAATCAGGGCCGGCTCTGACGTAACCATTGTTGCAACCGGCGTTATGGTGTCAGTGAGTCTCGACGCGGCAGATATGCTGGCCGCCGAGGGTGTGGCAGCACGAGTGCTTAATGTACACACCTTGAAGCCGGTGGATGAAGCAACCATTGTTGCCGCTGCCCGGGAAACGGGGGCAGTGGTATCTGCCGAAGAGCATTATTTCCATGGCGGATTGGGCAGTATAGTTGCCCAGACTGTGGTTCAGAATCACCCTGTCCCGGTCGAGATGGTTGCCCTCCAGGGATACAGCGAGTCCGCCAAGGCGGAGGAATTGATGGTCAAGTATGGCTTAACGCCTGAAAAGGTTAAGGAGGCGGCCCTTAAGGCCATTAGCCGCAAAAAATAGGTCCCTCAGCCCCCGATACACCAATTCTGGAAAGCAAACTGGGCAGGTTGACTACCTGCCCAGTATTTTTTGGACCAGGGAAATGTTCGTTACTCCCTTACTTGACCATCACCGATTATGACCCACTTGTAAGACGTCAGTTCCCGAAGGCCCAGGGGGCCACGGGCATGGAATTTCTGGGTGCTGATTCCCACTTCCGCGCCCAGTCCCAGTTGGCCTCCGTCAGTGAACCTTGAACTGGCGTTGACAATCACGGCAGCGGCATCCACATCTCGCTGAAAGCGCAGTGAGGCTTCAGAGTCGCGAGTGATGATAACCTCCGTGTGCCCGGAGCCGTAAGTATCGATGTGTTCCAGCGCCTCGTCCAGGGAGTCAACTATCTTTATGGCAGCGGTAAGGGAGAGGAATTCCTTGCCCCAGTCTTCCTCGGTAGCCGGGAGTGCATTTAGCCCTGAAACCGGCCCCAGGATGCTTAAGGCACGGTGGTCGCAATGCAACTCCACGCCCGCCTCACAGAGATTGCGGGCAAGATCCGGAAGGCAAGCTGGAGCGGCTTCGGCGTGGAGCAGCACCGTGTCCAGGGCGTTGCAAACCGTAGGCCGTTGCACCTTGGCATTGAAGACAATATCAGAAGCCTTTTCCAGGTCGGCAGTCCGATCAACATACGTGTGGCAAACTCCCACGCCACCGGCCACCACTGGCATAGCGGCGTTGCTGGCCACAAAGTTAATAAGGTTAGGGCCGCCTCTGGGTACCAGCAGATCAATGTGTTCCTTCATCTGCAGCATGGCATCGACCAGGGCCCGGTTTGGATTGTCGATATATTGGATGGTGTCAGGATTGATCCCTGCCTCGCCAATAGCGCGGCGCAGTAACGCGGCCAGCGCCACGTTTGAACGAATGCTCTCCCTGCCTCCACGCAAGATGCAAGCATTTCCCGACTTCAGCGTGAGGGCGGCAATATCCACGGTCACATTGGGGCGGCTCTCGTAAATGCTGCCAATAACGCCAAGGGGCACCCGCCGCCTTTCCACCTCCAGGCCGTTGGGCAGGGTCTTGGCTTCTATCACCTCATTGACCGGGTCTGGAAGAGCCGCGATGGTGCGGACATCGCCAGCCATGCCCCTAAGCCGTTCCGGGTTCAGTAGCAGACGGTCCAGCATTGCCTCGTTCATGCCTTCCGCGTGGGCAGACTTGTAATCGGCCTGGTTGGCTTCCAATATTGGACCTTGCTCCGATTCCAGTGCATCGGCCACATTCAGAAGGGCCTGGTTCTTAATGTCTGTGGAAAGGCGGGAAAGTTCCTTCGCCGCGCGCTTTGCAGTTTTTCCCAGAGTTAGTAACGAGTCCATGTCGGCGTTGGTGGCCATGAGTTTTCCTCATTCTCTTAAGCAGTTTGCATTAGGGAGAATACGCGTTGGAAAGGGTCTAGATGAGGACCAGATTATTGCGGTGTACGACTTCCTGACCGTAATGATAACCCAGAATTGCCACGATACCGTCTGACTGAAAGCCTCGGATTCGGGCAATGTCGGCTGCGTCGTAATTTGCAATACCACAGGCGATCTGCCTTCCCGGTTCGTCCACGATGTAGACGATATCTCCCCGGCTGAACTCCCCTCTTACACCTCTGACGCCGGCGGGCAAGAGGCTGACGTGCCTGTTGAGGAGGGCGTCGGCCGCTCCTCCGTCGACTTCGATCTCACCCCATTGGGAATCTTCTACTCTGCTGAGCATCCAGCGCTTGCGGGCTTCAAGCTTGCCTCCCACAGGATGAAATACAGTGCCGATGCTGTCCCCACGGGCCGCACGAACTATCGCATTTTCTGCCCTTCCGCTGCACATGATCATCGAAATGCCGGCTGAGGTAACCAGTCTTGCCGCGTCGATCTTGGTCGGCATACCGCCTCTTGCCCAGCGGTTGCGGTGCTGTCCTACGGCCGCCTTAACAGTGTCGTCAATCTGATGCACTTCCGGGATTAAAGTAGCATCGGGATTCCGGTAAGGGTCGGCAGTGTACAGTCCTTCAGTGTCGGTCAGAATAACGAGAAGGTCAGCGTCCACGAGATTGGTTACCAGCGCCGAGAGCCGGTCGTTGTCACCAAACACCGCGCCGATTTCGTCTACTGCTACCACGTCGTTTTCGTTGAGTATAGGTACTACTCCAATATCCAGGAGTGCCGTGAGGGTATTTCTGACATTCAAGTACGGCTGTCGCTCTGCCAGGTCATTGATCGTCAGAAGCGCCTGTGCCACATGCACATTGTGAGTTTCAAACAACTGCTCATAGGCATGAATGAGTCGGCCCTGCCCAATGGCTGCCAGGGCCTGCCTGGAGGGTATATCTCGTTCGGCCAACTCCAGCCCTGCCTGCCACAAACCCTGCCGGCCGGCAGCGATGGCGCCAGAAGTTACCAAAATCACCTCTGCGCCATTTTCACGTCGCAGCCGGCTGATCTGTTCCGCCAGGTCTGCCATTACGGCCTGGTTTAGCCCACCATTATTTTGGGTATCAGTAAGGACGCTGGTCCCTACCTTTACCACGATCCTCCGGTAGCGCAGTTCTTCAGCGGCGGTCATCGCGGTCTCAGAGACTCGTTGGGGAGGAAACGGTCTGGACATTACAATACGGTAGAATTGCGGATCGGGAGTGCAGCATTCGATGGCAAATCAGGAACCTTCGAGCGAGTTGCATAATTATAGCACGAAGCTTTGCATGCTCTGGCGAATTCTACGCTCGATTGGACTAATATCCCGCGTGTGCTCAACTCAGCTAGGGCGGCGAAGTTTGCTGTGGGTCAACCAGTGTTCCTGGCCATTGGGGTTGGCGACTGAATTGGATAGTCAGATGAAATCTTTGACGGACCGATGGGTCGATATCCGCATCATCCATTCTTGTTAATCACCACTTGAGGGAATAGAATTGATGATAATCGGGGCTAACGCTGGCCGTTAGCCCTTTTGACTGTTGCAACAAATAACTGATTACGAGCCTTTTAAGGCCGGTATTAAGTTTGGAGTTTATTTCTGGATGTCGCTTCCAGGCCTTCTGTCTCTACTTGCCAATGACTTTCCCCTTGGTACCGACGACAAGAATACGCGACCAGGAGCGTCAGGGCCGAGTTTTGCTGCCCGAAGAGGTGTAAGGCCTCTGTTCGTGGCCAGCCTGTGGGCCGAGACTCAAACACCAACACTGGTTCTCTCTCCTCGTGCGGACGACTCCCGTACGTTGTATGACCAGTTGATGACGTATTTGGGCGAAATGGCTCCCGTTTACCTGCTGCCGGAACCCGAGGTCCTGCCATTTGAGCGCCTGGCGGTTGATTCTCGAACCGTGAACCAGAGGTTGGTCGCATTGTCCGCGCTGGCCTCCTGGGAAACTGGCTGCGAGAATCCACCCTTGGTGGTGGCTTCGGTGGCCGCAGTTTTGAGATATACCTTGTCCCCTGGAGTCTTTGAAGATCTGGACCCTGGCGAATGGTCCTCCCGCCGGCTTGGCCTGGGTCAACGAATTCGAAGCACCGATCAGCTTCTGGCCGATTGGGTGAAACTCGGCTATCGGCACGAACCGGTGGTGGAAAGCCCGGGATGCTTCAGCTTGCGCGGCGGCATCATTGACGTTTTTCCTCCTCATGCAGAGAACCCCTACCGAATCGAACTGTGGGACGATGAAGTCGATACCATCCGCAGATTTGACCCATACACTCAGCGCTCACTTCCCTTTACTGACGACAGCCCAAAACCCGAGTGCGCAGAAATAGTGCCGGCCCGCGAACAGCTACCCGAATTGGCCGACAGGGCCGCGATAGAAAAGCGAATAGGGGAGTTGGATTTTTCGCACTGTAACTCCTGGATGCGGGACCGGTTTGACGAAGAACTGGTAGAGCTGTTTGCAACGCCCAACATAGAAACGCTTTCCTTCTACAACGGAATCCTCAATCGCCACAATTTGTTTGACTACCTGCCGGGCGATGGACTCCTGGTGCTGGATCGAAAGGCCCAGGTGGAGACTGAAGCCCGGGACCTGGAGGAAAAGTTCTTCCGAATGCGCGAGAGCAGGGAGTCCAGGGGCGATCTTCCCAGGAATTTCCCGTCACCCTATCTGGAATGGGATCAGCTTTCTTCCCGTATTTGGGAACACCCTCGTAAGGCTTATCTCGAAAGTTGGTTGGCAGACGACGCTGATGCTTCTTTTAGCGCTCCCAGATCTTACTTTGGCCAGCTGGGCCAATTTACAGATGAAGTGGCGGCCGACTTGCAGAGAAAGCGAATAGTTATCGCCATAACCCAGCATACCCTCCGTCTCGCCGAAGTTCTCGGGGAAGCAGACGTACCTGCCTCAATAGGAGAGTCCCTGGAAACACCGCCATTACCAGGGCAGGTTCACCTGTTGCAAGGTTTCCTTAATGAGGGATGGGAAACTGAAGGAAATGAGCACCATCCTGGTATAACCCTTCTCTCTGACTCAGAATTGTTCGGCACGGTCAAGGAGCGCCGTTACCGGCCGGTCCGTAGCCGGGAACAATTGGGTGAGGATATTATCCTCTCCGAATTGGTTCCAGGGAGCTATGTGGTACACGTGGACCACGGCGTTGCCAGGTTTGCCGGAACCACTCATATGGAGGACAACGGAGAGGACAAGGAGTTCCTGGTCCTGGAATATGCCGAGAATGACAAGCTTTACGTTCCTACGGATCATTTGGACCGGGTGGGCGCCTATGTGGGAGCGCAGGACCAACCGCCAACATTGACCCGTCTGGGAACCGCGGAATGGGCGCGAATAAAGGAAAGAGTAAAGGGATCGACTCGCGAAATGGCGGAGGAACTCTTAAGGCTTTATGCCGCCCGGAAAGCCGCAGAAGGGCACGAATTTAGCATGGATACGATTTGGCAAAGGGAACTGGAAGATTCCTTTCCTTTCCAGGAGACGCCAGACCAGGTTCGCGCCATTGACGAAGTCAAAGCTGATATGGAGCAGATCAAGCCGATGGACCGGCTGATCTGTGGAGACGTGGGCTACGGCAAAACGGAGGTGGCTTTGCGAGCCGCCTTCAAGACCGTGTCAGACGGTATGCAAGTGGGCCTTTTGGTTCCTACAACCGTACTGGCCCAGCAGCACTATGCCACGTTCAGCGAGCGTCTCAGCCCCTTTCCGCTACAAGTGGAGGTGTTGAGCCGTTTCCGCACCCCAAGAGAACAGCAGGACGTTATCGAAGGCCTCGAGCAGGGCACTATCGACATTGTTATCGGCACCCACCGGTTGCTTCAAAAGGATGTCCGCTTCAAGAATCTGGGGTTAGTAGTAGTGGATGAAGAACAGCGGTTTGGGGTGGGTCATAAAGAAACCCTGAAACGTTTGCGAAGCCAGGTGGATGTGCTGACACTAAGCGCCACCCCCATACCTAGAACACTACACATGGCCTTAACGGGAATCCGGGATATGAGCGTAATGAACACACCTCCGGAAGCCCGCCTGCCCGTCAAAACCTTCGTCTCAGAATACAATGAGGAAACTATTCGGGAGGCCATTCTTCGGGAAATCGAGCGCGACGGGCAAGTCTTCTTTCTGCACAACCGTGTCCGGAACATCGAACAAACGGCGGCCGATTTGGCCGAGCTTGTACCGGAAGCCCGCTTTATGATCGGGCACGGTCAAATGCCGGAGCTTGAACTGGAAGAAGCGATGGAGGCTTTCGCGGCTGGCGAAGCGGACGTCCTGGTTTGCACCACCATCATTGAATCCGGCCTGGATATGCCCAACGTCAACACGCTTATTCTGGACCGGGCCGACCGGTTTGGGCTTTCCCAGCTCTACCAATTGCGAGGCCGTGTTGGCAGGGGAGAGCACCGAGCCTACGCGTACCTGCTCTTGCCCAGGGGCAGGCAGATAACGGAAGCAGCCGAAAAACGCGTGCAGGCTATCCTGGAAGCATCGGATTTGGGGTCTGGCTTCAGAATTGCGATGCGGGACCTGGAAATAAGGGGCGCGGGTAACTTGCTGGGAGCTGCCCAGAGCGGGCAGATTCATGCGGTGGGATTGGAACTGTACGGTCAATTGCTCGAAGAGGCAGTGTCTGAACTAATGGCGCCGGCGAAGGCAGCGATGGTAATTCCCAGCCTGCTGACGGCCCCGTCGAGTTACCCAGGATAGAACTGTCAATTGCAGCCAATATCCCGGAGAGCTATGTCCCGCACACTCCAACAAGGCTTGCCCTTTATCAGCGACTGGCGCGAGCCAAGAGTCGGGACGGGGTGCCTGCATTTCGAGATGAAATGCGGGACCGGTTTGGTCCACTGCCTGATGATGTAGAGAATCTGTTAACACTGGTCGATTTGCGAGTTCTGGCCGTTACGGCCGGGGTGGAATCTGTGCTGCAATCCACTGGAGGAATTACCCTCGGTCTCCGGCAAGACGTTGGGAGCGCCAAAGTTCCGCTCCAACGTGCCCTTGGTTCGGCAGCGAATGTGGGCAACAGGCAAATCAGGTTTTCCTCCCGTTCCCTGGGAGACCAATGGCTGCGCAGGCTCACCCAGACGCTGGAACGCCTGAGCATTTTTCAGGAACGGCTGCGGAGCCTGGTTAGTTGAACATTCAGATCCTTAACCAGGGTGAGGGAAGGAAGCTGCGGCGCTGCTTGAATCCCCACGCTTTCAGGTCTCGTAATAGAATCTGACAAGAAACCCCACAGATGGGTTAAATGGCAGGAGATGCCTCCAGAAATGAGTTTGTACTATCTTTGGCTACTATGAATAAAAGAAGGGTGCAGGTCAATTTTTCAGCAAGCCGACTAACCATGTTGTTGCTCGTCGTAGCTACTTTGGCACTGCTGCTAGTTGGGTGCAATAATGGCGCGACCAACCCCGAATCCCCAAGTGAGGCGGAAGCAAGGGATAAGGTTGAGGACTTCAAGATTGGCCTTTACCAGGGACAGAAACAGTTGGGCTCTGCTGAAATCTTGTTGTCTGACCTCCAGGGCAAACCGGTAGTGCTGAATTACTGGGCTGGCCTATGTCCCCCTTGCCGGGCGGAAATGCCGGAGTTCCAGGAATTCAGTGATGAATACGAGGGGAAAGTTACGCTTATCGGTGTTGACCTTGGGCAATACCTGGGACTCGGCTCCAGGGAAAATGCCCAGGAATTGCTGGCCGAAATTGGGAGTCACCTATCCGGCCGGTTTCACAGATGATGGCGCGGTTGTAGAGGCGCACCGGGTGTTTGGCCTTCCCACCACCATTTTCGTCACCGCGGAAGGCGACCTGCATAAGAAATGGGACGGGGTGCTAAACAAGGACAAACTGGGCGAAATTGCAGAAGAAATGTTGGTTGACGCGGGCGGCTAGAGTAGCGAAAGAAGGATAGTTTTACGGGCCCTTCGGGTAAAGTGCTGAATCCGCTTATTCATGTCGCTCCCTTGGAGGCGCTTTCTTCCTTTCCTGTATTTGTTGGGAACGCTTGTAGTATAATTGCCCATGTGAATTCCGCCTTCACTGTCAGGGCGAGGTGGTTTATGTAACAGCGGTAGGCCCAGTGGTAATTTAGCAGTTCGGTAACGGCGGTAGTATTCGGGGTGTAGCGCAGTGGCTAGCGCGCTTCGTTCGGGACGAAGAGGTCGGAGGTTCGAATCCTCTCACCCCGACCATCCATGTTTTGGCCTCATTTCTTCAATGCAAGTAGTGTCGGTGAAAAGATTCTCCGACTCCCTCCTTAGGGTCCCCCAAGGGTAATCGCGGTCTGTAACCCAATTCTCTTTGGGTTGTCCCGCTCCCGCTATAATTCAGCTGTGGTCGTGTCGCAGGACGTTTTTCTGTTTCCCTGAGAAATCTATGCCTGTTGATCTAAATTCAATCCAAGAGCCGCGAATTCTCCGGATTTTTGATTCATATACCGGGCGGTCAGCAACTCTCCGCTTGGACCAATCAGACGTGGACTTTTCAGTCGTAGAATTGCTGGACAAGTACCTATTTGGACTCCCAGAGGAGGAGTTGCTCCATCGCCAGAGAATCACCCCGGGTTCTCTTACCTCCTTGAAGGCCCTGCAAGACCTGGTTTACTCCTGCGACGACGAGGGTCGGTTGATAGCTATGTACTCCGGAATTGCCGTCACCCAGAACGACAGCATGATCGATTTGGCAGACAGGCCCCAAAGAGACTGAGGTAAAGGTTGGCGACTTTGGGACTTCATTAATTGACCTTACCATTGACCGTACCAATGTTGGATACACGCGAAATTGGAGAGGCTTCTACCGGCGGCGGTGGGCTAATGAGACTGACTTCTTCAATAGATTTGTAACCGAAACCTTGGAGAACTACCTGGGGCCTGCTGCTGCCGAGGAGGTATTACTGCTTGCCTCACATCAGAGCAGGCTGGAATTTGTCAGGGTATTGGCGCGCCGCATCTGGGACAGCGAGTTTGAGAATTATTCACGTTTCGTGGGTGACAAGCAGATGTTCAAGACCGGGGATGAAACCGTCCGAAACATAGCAAACGGGGCAGGCGGCATTTGCACCGAGAAGGTTCAGGCTTTGAAATTCCTGACTGACCAATTCGGGTTTGAATCAGAATATCTGATAGGCGGTGATGGCGCCCGTGAACATGTCCCTACGGCCAAACTCAGGAATCTGTTGAATACATTCGACTTCAGGTTCTCCCGAAGATACATGCGGTACTGGCAGCACTCAGCATTGCTTTACCAAGTTGATGGTGTTCCCCTTCTGGTTGATGCCACCAATGGCAACATTCCTTTCCTTTTCCTCACCGGTGAATCAGCAGAGAACCTGTTGTGTTACGAGGAAAAACCCTCGGTCAAAGTAAGAATGGTGGAGGCGGAGGAAGACTATTTTTACCACCGGGTCCCTCAGGACATCCCGGAAAACCTCTTCTTTGCGATGGAAGGGTGGCTAACCGACACGGATATGGTCCAGGTTTTCGAAAACGAGCTTGGTCTTTACTTGTCAAGCGACTACTACATTGCTCCCTTGCCTTTCAGAAACGATAAGGATTATGAACTACTGGCTGCCGATTACCGGGCAATAGCGCGTCGAGCAGGATTTCGCTGGCAAATTGGCCCCGATTGGGACTTTGAATCTGAAGTGGGTCGAGAGTTTGTAACTTCGCATCCCACAACGGCCAGGAATATTCTTGCAGCAAAAGACTACCTGCTAGTCCGTTATAATAAATGGGACCTTCCCGTTCATGATGCCGGGCTTGTAGTATTTCGTTTATCCTGATTTGTTCCTCTGTGGCATGAGGGCAAGGGACGATGGCTTCAATTAATCCAAAGTCAATTGGCATTTTCGAGTCCGTTGCCACGAACCGCTGGTCGGCGGGACTGGAGAAGGTTGCGCGAACGCTGATTGACGGTGCGGCCAAGGTTGGGCATGCCTGGCCGGCCCTTGAGGAACAGCGCAAGCAGGAAGTGGTTCAAGAAATACGTCGCGCCCGGGGCACTTTGCAGGTCCAGTACCTTTCAGACTCTCGACTCAAGTCAACCCTTCAGAGCATCAAGACTGAAGTCAAGACCTCTCCCGGGCGACCTAAAGCGGTTGACTATGTGCCCTCAGTATTTGCCATAGTCGACGAGTGTATCCGGCGAAGGCTTGGCGCCTGGCGTTTATTTGACGACCCTCCCAGGCAGGCTATCTTCGGTGACTGTTTCAAAGTCGCGAACGGCGAAACAGGCGCCTCAAAGCTGGACGCAGAAGAAATCGCCATAGTCCAGGCCATCAAATTGGCGCAGTCGGTCTCCCCGGGGCGCTATGGGTTGGACTTACAGTTTCCCGCCTCCTTCTATCGAGCAGTGGAAGTCAAAGACGCCGAGAGTGATTACCGTTACCGCCCTACGGATGAACAACTCCTTGCCGGCGTCCGACTCCTTGAAGGCAAGGTTGTGGAAATGCAGGCTGGGGAAGGCAAGACGGTGGCCATTGCCTTTTCCGCAGTTATGTACGCTGTGTTGGGACGTTCAGTTCATATCCTGACTGCCAACGACTACCTGGCCGAGCGTGATTGCCGGCTCTTGGCTGAGGTTTACCACGCTTTGGGTTTCTCGGTAGAAGCCATCCTTGATCCCATGGACGATTTTGAAAGGAAGGCGGCTTATAAGTGTGACATTGTGTACGGTACCCTGCGCCAGTTTGGTTTCGACTATCTTCGTGACAATCTGGCTCGTGGGAAACAAGAAGTGATCCAACCGCTCCTTCAGGTGGCCATCGTCGATGAAGTCGACCAGGCTTTAATTGATGAAGCTGACACCCCTCTTATCATTGCGGGGGTTCCCTTAGGTAAATCCCAGCCATTACACAGGGTCAACCGGGCAGTAGCCGGAATGGTGGCCAGGCAGGAAGATCTAGCCGGCGAATACCTCACCACACTGAGGGACACAGACCCGTCGCACGCTAGTTATGCGACTCTGATCTGCCTGGGTTTGCTGGCCAGTCCTCGCAACGAGCAACTGCGAAGGTTGGCTCTCATTAACCCGCGTACCTATCGCCGAGGAATGGAAGACTTGTACCCCAATGGCAACGACTCACCAGATGAGTCCATAACTGGTGACCTGTATTACATAGTTGACCCGCAGGAGGGTTTGGTAACCCTGACCGAGAAAGGTATGGCATTCCTGGAAGGTCAGTTGGGGGACTTCAACGTTGCTGCCTCGAGGAATGAGGTAAATGCCAGTCTGGAGGGTCAGCTCTCCCGCAGAGCAATGCGCAGGCTTGACTTGGCTAACCAGGTCTATCAATCCCTTCGAGCGCACTTGATCCTGGAGCAAGACGTGGACTACGTGGTCGCTGACGGCTCAGTTTTCCTCCTGGACAAGTACACCGGCAGACTTAAGCCGGACAATTCCTACCAGGACGGACTGCAGCCCGCGCTTCAGGCAAAAGAGGGGGTCGCGGTAGAACCTGATCACGAGAGCTTGGCCCAGATTTCGGTGCAAGGCTTTGTTACTCGCTACCAATCGTTGGCCGGAATAACCGGAACAGCATCCAATGCCTCCGAAGAGTTTTGGCGGTGGTATTCCTTGAAGGTCGTGTCCGTACCAACCACACATCCTTCAAAACGTTCAGATTTGCCAACCCGCATATTTTTGGCTGAGGAAGATAGAACCGCCGCCATAGTGGCTGAAGTTGTGTCATGCAACCTACTAGGTCGGCCGGTGTTGGCGGGAGTACAAACAGTCGAGCAATCCTGGAAGCTTAGCCAAGTGCTGCAAAGCGCCGGCATACCACACAAGGTGTTAAACGCCGTCAATAGTTTCGAAGAGGCTGAGATAGTCCGCGATGCCGGCAATTACGGAGCCGTTACCGTGGCGACCAATATGGCTGGCCGCGGAACGGACGTAGTCCTGGCTACTGACTTGGACCGGGACGTGCTCCGTCAATCCGTCTCCCTGGTCCGTAATCGACTGGCCGGCGATTGTCCCCATGTCAGGATTCGGTGCAATTCCAGGACGGAGGCGCAACTGCTTCGAGAAACTCTGTTGGCCCAACCAGGATTGCGGGTTGGGGACGAGTCCAAACAAGGGTGTTATTCCCTGTTAGTCTCTCTTGAAAATGCCCCCAGCAATCCGGACAAAGATATTGGGTCCATTCCAACTCTGGACTTTGGCTTAGGACTGCACGTTGTAAGTTCCGAATTTAATCAATTCCCGCGGGTTGCGCTTCAATTGAAAGGAAGAAGCGGACGGCAAGGAAATTTTGGTTCCTCCAGAGCGCTGCTGTCCTGGGACGACAAGTCTTTGTTGTCATTGGGAAGGAGAGGTCCAAACCTGGCCCGGTGCCGCAGGGTCGATGATGGCAGCCGAACGTACTTTGAAGGCAACGAGGTTGAGCGGTTCATTAGGAATCGGCAAATTGAAGCGGAAACCGAGGCGGCCCATCGCCGCAGCGTTCTTGGCGACTACTCTGCAGTGGTTGATGAACACTGCGCTGCCTATTACGAAATGCGCCGCCAATTATTGAACAAGGTCAACCCGGCAGAGAACCTGCCGCTCTCCGTTGCTGACACTGCCCGGCATTTGGTTGAGTCGCACTTCCCAAGGATGGACTTGATCAACTATGCGAACCAGTTTACTAATCTGGCCGAAGATGCCCGCCATATGTTTGAAATCGACCTTTCCAGCCTCAGGGGGGTTGCTTTAGACGAAGTTCCCCACAAGCTGGCGGAGCACCTGTTGGAATCGTTGGAAGTCCGTCGGGCCCATATTGGTAAAGAGAGATTCAATGAACTGGCACGCCAATTGCTGCTGGAATGCGGAGACGAGGCATGGCTGCAGCATAGGAAAATCCTGAGACGGTCAGTTTTCAGTTCCGTGGCAGCCAGCATCGGACACAAGTCGGCAGTTGCGGATTACATAATTCATGCCGCGGAACAGTGGGAACGGTTTCAGGAAACGGTGAGTGATCTATTTATTTCAAGAACATTGACCTTTCCCCTTCCGGCCATTGCTCCGGCATCCGAGGATATTGGCGAGGACCCTCAGTTAAGCCGGGAAATTGGCCAACTTGTAGCATGAACCATCGGTTTGCGCTGCCTCTCGCATTAATGTGCGAGGTCTCATAATCATTATCTGCTAACAACCTGGATGGGTCCAATTTAAGGAGTTGAGATGGCACTGAGACTGAGAAGATTGAGCACGGCAATTTTTGCCGGAGGAATGGTGGCCGGTTCCCCGCTAATAGCAGCTTGCAGCAGTGGTCCATCCTATGATACCTGGGCCGCCACCGACGGTGCCGCCGGCCGCATAAACCTGGACGATGTCCAACAGGCATTTAAAGAAGCCAAGAGCGCCACTGAGTTTGAAGAAAGGGTAAACGAGATCTATGAAGGCGATGGAGTCATATTGATCCGCGCCCAGCAGAACGAAGACAACCTGACCCTGGAGGGTTGGGAGGATCTGAACGGAAACAACGAGATCGAAGATTCCGGGGATGATCAGCTCTTTTCGATTGTAAAGAACAACGATCAGCACGAAATGCGTGGCCACAACGCCAACGGCTACTACCACAGCAGTTTTGGGGGAGGAAGCTTCCTGTTCGGTTATATGTTGGCCACCGCGTTCTACCCTGGCCCCTACTTCTATTCCACACCGATCAGCCGGGGTTCTTCAATCCGACAGGGTCGAGCC